CAACTCGTGTTACGTCCTCTCCTTCAACTCGTGTTACGTCCTCTCCTTCAACTCGTGTTACGTCCTCTCCTTCAACTCGTGTTACGTCCTCTCCTTCAAGGGGAAAGGCAGGCTGACTTTGAGTTGACTCAGACGTGAGGAGCTCTTGTGAGTGTGCTGGGAGAGGTGTGAGGATGGAGGGAGGGTAAGGGAGGGTGAGAGGAGGGTGAGAGGAGGGTGAGAGGAGGGTGAGAGGAGGGTGAGAGGAGGGTGAAGGGAGGGTGAGAGGAGGGTGAGAGGAGGGTGAGAGGAGGGTGAGAGGAGGGTGAAGGGAGGGTGAGAGGAGGGTGAGAGGAGGGTGAAGGGAGGGTGAGAGGAGGGTGAGAGGAGGGTGAGAGGAGGGTGAGAGGAGGGTGAGAGGAGGGTGAAGGGAGGGTGAGAGGAGGGTGAGAGGAGGGTGAGAGGAGGGTGAAGGGAGGGTGAGAGGAGGGTGAGAGGAGGGTGAGAGGAGGGTGAGAGGAGGGTGAGAGGAGGGTGAGAGGAGGGTGAGAGGAGGGTGAGAGGAGGGTGAGGATGGAGGGAGGGTAAGGGAGGGTAAGGGATGGTAAGGGATGGTAAGGGAGGGTAAGGGAGGGTAAAGGAGGGTAAGGGAGGGTAAGGGAGGGTAAGGGAGGGTGAGGATGGAGGGAGGGGGGCATGAGGACCGGCATTGATGGTGTCTTGCAGAGCAGCGGGCAGCGATCGGAGGAGAGATGAGAGCTGAGGGGAGAGCGGAGGTTAAGTAATGGAATCAGAGGCAGTAACACCTACGCAGAGGCACACGCAGGCTGGCATTGATGGTGTCTTGCAGCGCAGCGGGCAGCGATCAGAGGAGAGAGGAGAGCAGCGATGGGAGGAGAGAGCAGAAGGAAGAAGAGAAATAGAGGCATTACCTTCCCACGCCAAGTGACTTGGGGAGGGGAGAGGGGAAGGGCTGAAGATACCCACCAAGGGGCACACGCAGACCTGCATTGATGATAGTGTCTTGCAGAGAAGCGGGCAGCGACTTGAGGAGAGAGGAGAACTGATCGGAACAAGAGGCAGTAACACCCATGCACTCAGGGGAACCACCACACACACAGGGGAACCACCACCCACCCAGGGGAACCACTACGCACCCAGGGGAACCACCACCCACCCAGGGGAACCACTACGCACCCAGGGGAACCACTACGCACCCAGGGGCACACGCAGGCCGGCATTGATGGTGTCTTGCAGCGCAGCGGGCAGCGACTTGAGGAGAGATGAGAGCTGATCCACGATGGCTGTGAGGGGCGCTGGGATGCTGCCACCTGTCACAATGGGAGTGGTCACCTCGATCTCTGCGTACTCCTCCTTGAGCCTGGATGGGTTGGTGTGGAGTGCAGGGTGCGGTGGAGTGCGGTGGATTAAGCTGGAGTGCTGTGGAGAGCGGTGCATTGGTGGAGGAGAGGGATGGGATGACCTCACAAGAGCCAAGGGTAGAGCGGACCAGTGAAAGAGAGAAAAGGGGGGTGCTTGAAGGGGAGGAGCGGGAGTTAAGGGACAGAAGAAGGAGAGAGTGAAGGGACAGAGGAGGGAAGGAAGCTTAGCGGGCATGTTTCCCTGGAGGACCAGGAGGGAGCTTACTTGAGTGAGGCTTCCATTTCAAGCTTTGACTTGATGATGACGTTTGATTCGGCCTGATGGGATGGGATGGAATGGGATGGGATGGGATGGGATGGGATGGGATGGGGTGGGGTGGGGTGGGGTGAGATGGGGCGGGGTGGGATGGGATGGGCATGTGGAGAACATCCCCAAACAAAGAGAGACAGGCGATTGTGGGTTGGGCATGTGGATAGATGCGATAACACAAGCGACCGCACATGCAATCCCTCCAACTGACTGCATACCACATTGAGGAATCGAACGAAGGCGGTGGCGGCGGTGATGGTGCTGCCCGGCATGATGTGCAGCTGGAGGGCTTGCAGCGCATGTATGGTGAGGAACACCCCATACACACCATACAGGTTACAGACAGGCAATCTTGGTCACTACTCACCACATTGAGGAATCGAACGACAGCCGTGGCGGTGATGGTGCTGCCCGGCATGATGTGCAGCTGCAGGGCTTGCAGCGAGGCCACCTGAGGGGGTAGTCGCCTGTGAAGCAAAAACGGAATGGGGAATGGGGAGACGCGGAATGGGGAGAAGCGGAATGGGGAGAAGCGGAATGGGGAGAAGCGGAATGGGGAGAAACAAAATGGGGAGAAGCGGAATGGGGAGAAGCGGAATGGGGAGAAACAAAATGGGGAGAAGCGGAATGGGGAGAAACGAAAGAGCTGTGGCGGTGATGGTGCTGCCCGGCATTATGTGCAGCTGGAGGGCTTGCAGCGACGCCACCTGAGGGGGTAGACGCCTGTGGGTGGTGGTAGCAAAGGGAATATGATGTTTAAGCGAAGTGTGGAGGGAATGGGTGAAGACAAACTGAACAGACGAACGTGCACGCTACAGGACAAGGGTGCCCAGGACAAGGGTGCCCAGGACAAGGCGGGCGGCAGGCGGCGACTCACTGTAGCACGAGGCGGGCGGCGATGAGTCCAGGGCTTCCTGCTCCCGCCCACACGAAGTCCCAATAGCCCTCCAGCAGGGGGGAGCTGGTGGGTGGGGGAGAGGAGGGAGACAGAGGAGAGGGGGGGTTGGAAGGGGGCAGGGGAAAGGGAGCAGGCGCATGGACAGGGCTTCCTGCGCCCGCCCACACCAAGTCCCAATAGCCCTCCAATAATGGGGAGCTGGTGGGTGGCGGCGGGCCGTAAGGGAGGGGGAAGGGGAGAGGGGGCAGGGGTGGGGGAGGGGATGGGGGAGGGGATGGGGGACGGGGCACAAAAAGGCCGAAAGGAGGGCTCTGCGCTGCTCCCAATAGCCCTCCAGCAGCGGGAGCTGGTGGATGGAGGCGGGACAGGGGGCAGGGGGAAGAGAGAAGGGTGAACGGGAAAGGGGAAAGGGGGCAGGGGGGAGGGGGGAGGGGGCACGGGGCAGGGGGCAGGGAAGGGAAGTGAAGAGGTAACCCTATTTTACCATACCTGGTGGGGCGAGTGGTGGGGTTGAGACGCTCTAGAGCCACCACTCTCTCAGACACTTGAATCTTCCCTGCTGCGTTGCCCTGTGTATGTGGTAACCCTACTTTACTGTCCCCTACCTTTCCTTCTGGTAACTCGATTCATCTGTACCTGGTGGGGCGAGTGGTGGGATTGAGTCGCTCTACAGCCACCACTCTCTCAAACACATGAATCTTCCCGGCTGCGTTGCCCTGTGCATGCGGTGGTAGCCGCATTGCTGCATGTGTTAACCCTATTCCTTCTGGTAACTCCCTACTCCACTCACCTGGTGGGGCGAGTGGTGGGGTTGAGTCGCTCTAGAGCCACCACTCTCTCCGACACTTGAATCTTCCCAGCCGCGTTTCCCTGCCCTGTGGATAGAGACTCCACACCGCCCGCGTCTTTAATCTGCATAGTGAAGGGGAAGGGAGCAGCACAAGGGAGCAGCAGAGTCAGGGTGGGAACTTGAATTCGCCTTGCCATATTGCCCGTTAAGGAGACTTTTGAGTAGACTCAAGATTCACCTTGCCACGATGTCAGTTAAGAAACTTGACGCCGCAGACCCGCAAACGCGTTAAGAATGTGGAGGAAGTTACAGAAGCTTATAACGAGTACGGCAAACGGGAAGGGAAGAGGCTTATAACGCGTACGGCAAGCAGCAGCGCCTCTTTAGCGGCGACTCGCTCCATTTCCTTCGCGAACGACGAGACGCGCATGTCCCCTCCTCCCGCCGCCGCCGCCACCGCCGTTGTTCCCGTTCTCCTGCTGACGTGGCGACACGTGGACCAAACTCCATCTATATTCTTCAGTTGCGCTGTCCTCGTCAGCGGCGCACCGCGCTGATGATGGCAGGAGGAGAACGAAATGCCACGTGCCGCAACGGCATTGGACGAGCCAGGGCGGAATCTGCTCGTAGAGTCGCAAGCGAGCGGTGCTGGTGCCTTCACTTGCATGTGGGCGCAAGAAACCTGCGGCGAAAGCGCGAGCGAAAAGGAAGAGGCTATTTGTAAAGAGCGGCGCGAGCGAAAAGAGCGGCGAGAAAGGCGGAGGTAGGTAAAGGAAGAGTCGAATGATTAGGCTGGGGCCTGAGTAACAGAAAACGTAAAGGGCGATGAGCGGGGTTTTGAAAAACGCGCCGCCCGTGGGGCTCGAACCCACGACCACAAGGTTAAGAGCCTTGCGCTCTACCGACTGAGCTAGGGCGGCTGTTAATTTGAACATGGGTTAATTCTAGGGAACAAATTGATTTCTACCGTTTTGAAACGCTAGAAAACATCAGATTCCAGCTGCTCAGGAGCTGTCTCAATGTGACTGGTCCGCGCGGACCTGGTCCGTAGCTTAAATTTGCTCCCTGGTCCGAAGTCTGGTCCGACGGACCCTTCTGGCAGACCAGCCGTGGACCAGAAGCGGACTGGTCTGCTTGATGTGTTGCTACAGTCGCTGCGAATTTCAGCAGTGACGACGAAACAATTATTTACTGAAATCGAGTTACCCTTTTTCAGGTGCCCGTTTGAAGCTTTCCGAACAATCTTGAGCGAAAAGCACGAGAGTTAGAGAAATCGCAAAGAGATGTTCGTGAGATTACTGTTTACGGACCAGGGGCGGGCTGGCCCGGCGACCAAATCGAAGGCACCGTTTTAGTGCCATTCGAACGCTATAACGGGAACTCAAGCCCGAACCCTGGTCCAGTCCGTTGCTGGCTCACGCGCTGGTTCTCGAGCTGGTCCGTCGGGTCCGCGTCGGTCCCGCGTGGACTTGCTCGTTTGAGACACGTCCTCAGCCCTGGGTCTATCCGTTCCATTTCAGTTCACTGCGAATGCGCTCGCAACTAGTGCTCTACAATAATAGTCGTTCATTTCCTAGACTCGTTCTTAGAGTCGTTCGAATCCTTTAGCTCCACCACAGCCCCGCGTCGGGCGGCGGCTCGATGTTGGACGACTGGGAGGACGAGCGTGAGCGGGTCGTAGACGGCGGAAACTTCGGCGCGAATCACGGCGGGGGTTACGGCGGGCAGTATGTCTACCAAGGATACGGCGCGGTAGGTCATGCGATTCGACGGCTCGTCTTGTGGGTGCGACTCGACGGTGCGGCTGCGATTCGACTATGCAATGGTCTTCGCCACACCCCTCGCCAAATTCTTTTCGGCCTTGAAGTCCCCAAGTGCCGCCACGTCAGCAGCAGCGGGGCGCGATTCAACGAGCCGTTAGTCAGCGTGGAGGTCCTTAGAAGTTAGAAACCCACATGGCATTCCGCCATAGGCCACCAACTCTCCCTAACCGCTCCTCATTTCTCCTTATCCTTCTCCACCCTTCTCCACCCTTCTACCCGGCCTTCAGGACGAAGATGAGCCACGTCAGCAGCAGAATCCACGTCAGCAGCAGCGGATTAGCGACTCGAGCGAGCCGCTGTTCAGCGTGGAGGTGCTTAAAGCCCACGCGGCGCTGGGCCACGGCCGCATCACGTGCGGCGCCGCGGGCAACTCCGTGGTGGCCGTTGGCACGTCGGACGGCTGGCTCGTGCGATACGACTTCCTGAATGATGAGCTGGCAGGTGGGTGGGTGGGTGGGTGGGTGGGTGGGTGGGTGGGTGGGTGCGATTCCATGATTTCATTGTCGAGGCGCGTGTGAAAGGGCAACGCGGTGGTGGATGTGAGGATGCCCCACAGCTGGCTCGCTCGCGCCTCACCATAGGTTTTATTGTGTGTGTGTGTGTGTGTGTGTGTGTGTGTGTGTGTGTGTGTGTGTGTGTGTGTGTGTGTGTGTGTGTGTGTGTCTGTGTGTGTGTGTGTGTGTGTGTTTGACCGTCATACACAACCCCCTCCTCCTCCCTCCCCCCTTTCCCTCTCCCCTCTCCCTCCCTCCTCGTAAACCTTTCCTCCTCCAGAGATCAACCTAGCGTCCTACATCCCTCCAGACACCTCCTCCTCCACCACCACCACCTCGTACCCATCTGCACCGCACATCAACGGGTCCTACCGCATACACGTGAAGAGCGCATTCGTAGACCCGGGCGGCCGCCACACACTCGCCGTGCTGCAACACACGCCCCTCGGCGCCCCCGCAACGCCTGCAACCAGCAGCAGCACTAGCGGCGGCAACAGGGCAAGCGGCGGCAACAGCAGCAGCAGTGGGGGTGGCAGCAGTGGGCATGGGCATAGGAGCGGGATGGGGGGGCCGGTGGCAGGGATGTATGCAGCAGGGACGTACTGGGACTTGGTGTATGTGCATGGGGGGTGGCAGCGTGCACGGCATGTGGCACGGCATCGCATGGCCATTGGGGCTGTTGCTGCTGTGGCGTGGCAACCTGCTCCCATGGCGCATGATGGTAAGCTAGTGGTGGTATATATGTTGGTAAATGGCGCATGTGTGTTTGCATGTGACACGGCATCGCATGGCCATCGGGGCTGTGGCTGCTGTCGCGTGGCAGCCTGCTCCCATGGCACATGATGGTATGTGTGGGGTGGGGAACGTGGAGCATGGAGCATGGAGCATGGAGCATGGAGCATGAGGCATGGGGCATGGGGCATGAGGCATGGGGCATGAGGCATGGGGCATGGGGCATGGAGCATGAGGCATGGGGCATGGGGGGTGTCGTGGCAACGCGCACGGCATGTGGCACGGCACTGCATGGCCATTGGGGGCGTCGCTGCTGTTGCATTGCATAGTAGCCTGCTCCCATGGCACATGATGGTATGCGTGGGGGGGGAGGGGGGGATTGTGGGGCGTTCATGCTGGCATGATGGGGTGTGATGGGATGTGTGATGGGATGTATGATGGATATGGTGTGGAGAGTGAACCACATGGCATGGCACATGATGATGTTATGCTTTTGTTGTGTGCCGGCCTGTACCACCCTGCACCACTCTGCACTGCTCTACATCACTCTTTTTACCATGTCGCAACCCCATCTATCTCTCCACGCCAGCCAGCACGCGGGAGATCATTCTGGCTACGGAGGGCGGGCGGCTGTACGAGGCGGCGTTCGAGGAAACAGACAAACGAGACCGCCCGCTGAAGCTGCTGTTCGAGCTGCCCGACGCTGAAAAGTGCCCCTTTCGGGGCATCCAGGTCGGCCCCTCACCTACGTAAACTCAGTGGGAGTCACTTTTGAGAATTCTAAAGATCTCAGTGCCCCTATATGCTCAGTCCCTCAGTGGGTCATTCTTGCCCCTATGTCGAAGGGAATTGCTCAGAGATGCTAGGCATTTGATTGTAAATATGTTAAAGACTGCGCTTATATCAAAGGAAATGGCTTCTAATCCTCCCGCGTCATTTCACCACCCACGCACGGCCTCAATACAACCACAGATGGAGGTGCTGGGGTTACACGGGGGAGGCTCATCAGGGGGAGGCATTTCTGGGGTAGGAGGAGGAGGAGCAGCAGGGGGAGGTACAACTGCATCAGGCGCATCGTCTCAGCGGTTCTTTGTCCTGGCTGCCACTGCCACTCGCCTGCTTGCCTTTGTTGGCTCCACGTCTCTTGAGGTTAGTCAAGTTGTGCATGACTACAAGGCTTGAGAGCATGTGAACTTTCTTTTCCTTTCCTCAGACTTGTCCTTTTTTTTGCTACATCGATCCGTCTTCTGACTTTTGTTCCACACTCTGCTTCGCCCGGCCTTTCCTATCCCGTCACAAAGTTTTTTTTTTTTTTTTTAAGGTACAAATCTACCTCATCTCATGTTCTCCCTTTTCAGGCCACTTTTGCACCCTTCGCCTCTCAACTGCCCAAGTTCATTGAGCTTCTCTCAACTGCCTCCCCACTCTTCTACAGGCCACCTTTGCACCCTTCGCCTCACAGCTGCCCAAGTTCATTGAGCTCCCAGCCTCCTCACCTCTCATACCAAGGTACTACATATTCATTCAGTCATTTGTAGGAGTCTCAGCGCTCTCCTCGCCTCATCCCCACTCAAGAAAGGCCGTAGCGAGTTTTGAGATGTCTCAAAAGTCACCCTTCGCCTCAAAACTGCCCAAATTCATTGAGCTCCCAGCCTCCTCACCTCTCATACCAAGGCACAGTCAGTCAGGCATACATGGAGGAAACAATGACCAGTTCATTCCTGTCCTGATACCATCCCTTGCTCTTTTTCTTAGCTTGTTTGTTTGTTTGATTGTTAATATTTATTTATTTAACTATTTATTTATCTTTCTATTATTGTTATTATTAATTTATTTATTTATTTATACCAAGAATACCACCTCCTCCTCCCTGCCCCCGAAACCTCCAATTCCATGTCCATTCCCATCTACCCCCCAGCTCGCTGCACTTCTTTGGCCGCCAGCAGCGCTACGCAGAGCGGTTCGCATGGATGGCAGGGCATGGAGTGCTCTTCGGCCACCTCAACCTCAACGCCACCTCCTCCAGGTACCTGCCTGTGCGTCGGTGTGTTGCTTTTCGAAGCGCAGGCTTTCAACACTTGCTTTTTTTCTCACGCAAAAGCCAAGGCCTGGCATGGCGTGCTCTTCAGCCACCTCAGCCTCAACGCCACGTCCTCCAGGTACCTCTGGGTGGTTGTTGAAATATCAGATAGCGATTCAGGTAGTAGTATAGATGCTGTTCGGCCACCTCAGCCTCAACACCACCTCGTCCAGGTACCTTCAGGTGGTTGTTGAAATATCAGGTGGTCATTCATGTAGTAATTCAGGTAGAATCCCTGGCATGCTCTTCGACCACCTCAGCCTCAACGCCACCTCGTCCAGGTACCTGCAGGTGGTTGTTGAAGTGCTCTTAGCCACAACTTCAACCTACAGGTGTTCTTCCAAGTTCCAGTACCTGCAGGTGGTTGTTGAAGTCAGGTTGTGCACGTTTGTGTACCTACACCTAAACCCTAAATCCTTATTAGGTACCACTTAAACAACCCCCTTGCTTCCCTCTCGTCGCCCTTCTTCCTTCTCCTGCTCCCAACCAGCCTCCCATCGGGCTCCTCATCAGAGCCCCTCATCCAGCGCAAGTCGCTGCTGCCCTTCGCCAAGCTGCTCCCAACACTGTCAGTGGCCCAAATATACGCTCACCTACCGACCCTCCCCTTTCCATCCTCCCCTCCCAACCAGCCTCCCATCGGGCTCCTCATCAGAGCCCCTCATCCAGCACAAGTCGCGGCTGCCCTTCGCCAAGCTGCTCCCAACACTGTCAGTGGCCCAAATATACGCTCACCTACCGACCCTCCCCTTTCCATCCTCCCCTCCCAACCAGCCTCCCATCGGGCTCCTCATCAGAGCCCCTCATCCAGCACAAGTCGCTGCTGCCCTTCGCCAAGCTGCTCCCAACACTGTCAGTGGCCCAAATATACGCTCACCTACCGACCCTCCCCTTTTCATCCTCCCCTCCCAACCAGCCTCCCATCGGGCTCCTCATCAGAGCCCCTCATCCAGCGCAAGTCGCTGCTGCCCTTCGCCAAGCTGCTCCCAACACTGTCAGTGGCCCAAATATACGCTCACCTACCGACCCTCCCCTTTCCATCCTCCCCTCCCAACCAGCCTCCCATCGGGCTCCTCATCAGAGCCCCTCATCCAGCGCAAGTCGCTGCTGCCCTTCGCCAAGCTGCTCCCAACACTGTCAGTGGCCCAAATATACGCTCACCTACCGACCCTCCCCTTTCCATCCTCCCCTCCCAACCAGCCTCCCATCGGGCTCCTCATCAGAGCCCCTCATCCAGCGCAAGTCGCTGCTGCCCTTCGCCAAGCTGCTTCCACCCGGCCACTTGGGCACCTCCGATGATACCGAAGACAGTTCTGCAGCTGTAGCTGCTGGAGCCGCCAGTGCAGCCGCAGTGCATCCAATGGCGATGGCAGTGTCGGAGTTCCATCTGCTGCTGCTCTACAGCGACCACATCAAGGTGAGTTGGGGCGGCAGGGGCGGGTGGGTTGGCAGTGGATGAAGGTGTTAATTCCACAGCTGCCCATATTGAAATCACTTTTGAGAATTCTCAAAAGTGATTTCAATATAGCATGTGTGTAGTGGCAGAGGCCAGTGGCCATGGCAGGGAGCAACGGCGATGCCAGTGTTTGAGTTCCAACTGCTGCTGCTATGCAGCGATCATATCAAGGTGCGTTGCCTGCCTCTTGCTGTGCTGATGCAATAGCTGCCCTTCCATCAGCACAGGAAGAGGCAGTGATGAGGCTCTCTCTCTTCTCTCCAAGCCTCTAACCCCTCCTCCACCTACCCCCACCTCACGGTCCTCACCCCTGCTGACTTTTGTGTCGGCTCAAAAGTCACCTCGTTGAGTCGACTCAATAGCTGCCCTTCCATCCCGCTCTCTCTCTTCACTGCCCCTTCTCTCCAAGCCTCTAACCCCTCCTCCACCTACCCCCACCTCACGGTCCTCACCCCTGCCTGGTCACCCCCCATCCCTTTCTGTTGGCAGATAGTGAACCAAGTGAACAAACCATTGGTTGATCAGCTGCCCTTGCATGCCTCTGCTTTCCTTCCCCGTCATCCCTACGTCTGCATCGTTCCTGCGAGTGCAACCCAATCCGATTCCACATCTCAACCCCCTTCCCACCCCCCACAGATAGTGAACCAAGTGAGCGAGGCATTGGTAGATCAGCTACTCTCCATGCCGCGGCCCTCCTAATGTAAACTAAGTGGTTCCCCCTCCCCTCCCCATTCCCCCTTCCCCTCCACCTTCCCCTCCCATCCACCCGTTAACAGATAGTGAACCAAGTGAGCGAGGCATTGGTGGATCAGCTGCCCTTCCACGCCACAGCGCTTGAGATGGCGCCAGGTGGCATGCTCGGATTGGTTGCTGACGAGGCCGCCTCTGCCTACTATGCCTTCTGCGCCAACAACATATACGAGGTGTGTGATTGAATTGATAGCATGCACACATGTAGGCAGGCATGCATTCATTCATACATGCATACCTTCATACATACATTCATACATACATTCATACATACATTCATACATACATTCATACATACATTCATACATACATTCATACATACATTCATACATACATTCATACATACATTCATACATACATTCATACATGCATTCATACATGCGTAAATGGGTGTGAGTACATGCATGCATCCACACTTACACTAGCCATGCATGCATCCACAGATACACTAGCCATGCCTGCACATCATGTGAGGTACCTCCTATGCGTACACCGGCTACAAATACGTGGTGCGTCTGTGTGACTCACTGCTTACAAACACCCCCCCCCCCTTCTCTTCCCCCTTTCCCTCTGTCAACTGTCTGCAGTGTGCGATGAGGCCAGGGCCATGTGGCAGGCAGGTGTATCTGGACAGGCACGACTGCGCCATGGGTGCTGTGCTTACACACCCCTCTCTTTCCATCTCCTCTTCCTTTGTTCTGTGCTCCCCTGCCCTCAGATCGCTGTGTGTGATGAGGCCAGGGCCATGTGGCAGGTGTATCTGGACAGGCACGACTACGCCATGGTTGCTGTGCTTACACACCCCTCTCTTTCCATCTCCTCTTCCTTTGTTCTGTGCTCCCCTGCCCTCAGATCGCAGTGTGCGATGAGGCCAGGGCCATGTGGCAGGTGTATCTGAACAGGCACGACTACGCCATGGCCCTCTCCTTCTGCCGCACACCGCTGCAGCGCGACCGGGTATACGCAGAACAGGCAGAGTCTGCATTCAAGGATGGGGACTATGAGCGCGCGGCCACCTTCTTTGCTCGGATGAGCCTTTCTGAGTCTCTCAGTTTCTCACTGAGTTGGGCTGGGAAAGGACAGGTGCAGGAGGTGTATCTGGACAGGCACGACTACGCCATGGCCCTCTCCTTCTGCCGCACGCGCCTGCAGCATGACAGGGAATATGCGGCCCAGGCAGAATCCGCTTTTAAAGACGGGGACTATGAGCTAGCTGCCACCTTCTTTGACCGGGTGAGTCCCTACACACCACACATTTTGAGGCGCCTCAAAACTTTTGAGGCGACTTTTGAGGCGCCTCAAAAGCTAGCTGCCACCTTGTTTGCTCGGGTGAGTCCCTACACACCACACAGCTAGTTGGGACAGACAGGGTGCAGGCAGGTGGCTCTCAAATTCGTGGAGGCGGGGCAGCAGGACGATCACTGTCACGCCTCAACACAATCGATACCTGCCTTGCTTGCCCTCTCCACCCACTTTCCTTCCCCCACCAGACGGCCCACCACGTGCCATTTGAGGAGGTGGCTCTCAAATTCGTGGAGGCGGGGCAGCAGGATGCCCTGAGGAGGTATCCTGCCTCTGGAACCAGGGCCACAATCATTACCTGCCCTGCCCCCCCCTGCCCCTCCCTCCTCTCCTCCTCCGCACCCACTGCTCCCGCCACCAGACGGCCCACCAGATGCCCTTTGAGGAGGTGGCGCTCAAGTTTGTGGAGGCGGGGCAGCAGGACGCTCTGCGAAGCTTCCTTTTGCACAAGCTGGACCACCTGCCGAAGCAGGAGCGGGCGCAGATGACAATGGTGGCCACTTGGGCTTCAGAACTGTATCTTGACAAGGTAACGCACAGATGTGTGTCAAGATACACACACACACACAAGTGGGCCCAGGTCCCAGCAGGACGCTCTGAGGAGCTTCCTGTTGCACAAGCTGGACCACCTACCCAAGCAGGAGCGGGCGCAGATGACCATGGTGGCCACTTGGGCCTCAGAATTGTATCTTGACAAGGTAACACACATATGTGCACTCGATGCAATGTATGGTTATGCATGCATGATGCTTCCACTTTTTTTTTTCCTCTTCCGTGCTTCTATACAGGCCCGTCGTTCACTATTCCCTGCCCCCCCTTGTCCCTCCCGTTTTTCTTTTCGTTTTACTCCTCTCCCTCCTCTGTCTCTTCTCTTCTCCCTCCTCTGTCTCTTCTCTTCTCCCTCCTCTGTCTCTTCTCCCTCCTCTGTCTCTTCTCTTCTCCCTCCTCTGTCTCTTCTCTTCTCCCTCCTCTGTCTCTTCTCCCTCCTCTGTCTCTTCTCTTCTCCCTCCTCTGTCTCTTCTCTTCTCCCTCCTCTGTCTCTTCTCCCTCCTCTGTCTCTTCTCTTCTCCCTCCTCTGTCTCTTCTCCCTCCTCTGTCTCTTCTCTTCTCCCTCCTCTGTCTCTTCTCCCTCCTCTGTCTCTTCTCTTCTCCCTCCTCTGTCTCTTCTCCCCTCCTTTCACTTGCGACCAACCGCAGATAAACCGGTTGCTGCTCCAATTGCCACCAGACTTTGAGAAGCATGATTCCATACCTAGCAACTCTGAGTCTGGTTCTGCTGCTGCTGCTGCTGCTGCTGCTGCTGCTGCTTCTGGTTCTGCTGCTGCTGCTGCTGCTGCTTCTGGTACTGCTGGTGCCGCTGGGGAAGCAAGCCGGGCAGGAGTGGAAGCATCAAGGACGGGAGGTTCAGGAAGCTCCAAGGAGGGCCCAGGAGTGGAGAGGTTGCGAGAGGAGTACGGAAGGGTGGTGGCGGCGTTTCGAGCATTTCTCAGCGACTGCAAGGACGTGCTGAATGAAGCCACCACCGTGAAGCTGCTCGCCAGGTGTGATTATGAGTGGTTGTGAGGGGTGGTGAGGGGTGATGTGCACTGGTGACTGAGAGACAGACTGCAAGGACGTGCTGAATGAAGCCATGACCGTGAAGCTGCTTGCCAGGTGGGTGACACATGGCAATGAGCGGTGGTGAGCGGTGGTGAGGGGTAATGCGTACTGCTGACTGAGAGACAGACGTGCTGAATGAAGCCACCACTGTGAAACTCCTCGCTAGGTGTGTGAGCGGTGGTGAGGGGTGGTGAGGGGTGGTGAGGGTCGGTGGTGGGTGGTTCCACTTTTGGTGTTGTGCTGAGGGGGTTAGTTAGTTCTGTGTGAAATTGAGGAGGAACAGCTGTTTCCCGTGGGAGTGAAGGAAAGCCCCTTTTTTTAAACTGTGTTCACCTGGGTTGGCTTGGCTTGATCTGTCTTGACCTTCGTTGACTTGGGTTAGGTTGACCTGAGTGTGTGTGCAGCTATGGTCGGGAAGAGGAGCTGGTTTACTTCATGGGACTACAATGACAGGCTCCTTGTCTTGACGTGTGTTGACCTTCGTTGACCTGTGCTGACCTTTGTTGACCTGTGTTGACCTTTGTTGACCTGTGTGTGTGTGCAGCTACGGCCGGGAGGAGGAGCTGGTGTATTTTGCGGGACTGAAGCAGCGGCACGAGACAGTCATCGAGCATTTTATTCGGGTATGTGTGTGGCTGAGTGCTGAAGACTTCTGAGACGTCTCAAAAGGTGTGTGTGTGTGGCTGAGTGCTGAAGACTTTTGAGACGTCTCAAAAGGTATGTGTGTGTGGCTGAGTGCTGAAGACTTTTGAGACGTCTCAAAAGGTATGTGTGTGTGGCTGAGTGCTGAAGACTTTTGAGACGTCTCAAAAGGTATGTGTGTGTGGCTGAGTGCTGAAGACTTTTGAGACGTCTCAAAAGGTATGTGTGTGTGGCTGAGTGCTGAAGACTTTTGAGACGTCTCAAAAGGTATGTGTGTGTGGCTGAGTGCTGAAGACTTTTGAGACGTCTCAAAAGGTATGTGTGTGTGGCTGAGTGCTGAAGACTTTTGAGACGTCTCAAAAGGTATGTGTGTGTGGCTGAGTGCTGAAGACTTTTGAGACGTCTCAAAAGGTATGTGTGTGTGGCTGAGTGCTGAAGACTTTTGAGACGTCTCAAAAGGTATGTGTGTGTGGCTGAGTGCTGAAGACTTTTGAGACGTCTCAAAAGGTATGTGTGTGTGGCTGAGTGCTGAAGACTTTTGAGACGTCTCAAAAGGTATGTGTGTGTGGCTGAGTGCTGAAGACTTTTGAGACGTCTCAAAAGGTATGTGTGTGTGGCTGAGTGCTGAAGACTTTTGAGACGTCTCAAAAGGTATGTGTGTGTGGCTGAGTGCTGAAGACTTTTGAGACGTCTCAAAAGGTATGTGTGTGTGGCTGAGTGCTGAAGACTTTTGAGACGTCTCAAAAGGTATGTGTGTGTGGCTGAGTGCTGAAGACTTTTGAGACGTCTCAAAAGGTATGTGTGTGTGGCTGAGTGCTGAAGACTTTTGAGACGTCTCAAAAGGTATGTGTGTGTGGCTGAGTGCTGAAGACTTTTGAGACGTCTCAAAAGGTATGTGTGTGTGGCTGAGTGCTAAAGCAAGTGGTGCATTATCTTTCTCGTCTTTCTGTGTGGAAGATAGTTCGAAACAGCTTGTTGAGGTATTTTTTCTTTCTTGCAAACATTCCCAGTTCAGGTCCTGCAATGCAAAGTAGGAAAATGCCTTGTGTCTGCAGCACCCGTTTCATGTGGTCAATGCCTTCTGTCTCTCTCCTCCCCCCCTTCTACCCCTCCCTTCTCTCCCTCCCTTCTCTCTCCAACCCCCTCTTCTGTGTCCTCGGATGTGTCTGCTCAAACATGGCATCCAATCCGGTGTTGCCACCTCAGCAAGGCGATGCTGACTCAGCAATCGCCGTGCTGCGCCGACCCTCAGTGCCTCTGGAGCTTTTGGTAGGCCGCCCTCACTCAACCCCCCTAATTGTCACACTCTTTAACAGCACGGTGACCCCCTTCTCCAGACTCCCTCTACTGTCACACATCTCTCTCTTCTGCCGCCCTATCTGCTGTTGCTGTGCCCCGTCCGCCAGTGCAACTTTCCTCTGCTTCTTCTCATGTCTTTCCACTTCTGTTCCCCCTCCCCTCCCCTCTTGCCCATCCCCCCTCCCCGTCCTTCTCCAGTACAAGTTCTCACCGGCTCTCGTGCTCCTTGCCGCTTCCAGCACCGTTGACCTCTGGATCATGTCTGCCTCTGCTGCTTCTGCTCTTGCTACTGCTGCTGGTTCTTCTGCCAGTGGTGCTGCTACTGCTGCCGCTGCTGCCGCCGCATCTGGGTTTGATCCTCGTCGGCTCATTCCAGCCATCATGCGCTGTGCAACAGCTGCTACTGGCGCTGCTACAACTGGTAGTGGTGCTGCTACAGCCGCTAGTGGTGCTGCTACAGCTGCCACTGTTACCAGCAACCAGCCAAACGAGGCCATCCGGTTTTTGGAGTTTTGTGTGCACAGGCTGGGATCAAGAGATCCTGCCATCCACAATCTGCTGCTCTCCCTCTATGCCGACCAGGTCTGTTCTGCTGATGCGGCTCTGAAAGTCCTAACCGGGTCTAGAGGGTCCAAAGCACAAATATATTCAAAGCGGCATATTAGGTTTGCTCTCGCTCGCTGTATGCCGACCGGGTCTGTCTGTTGTTAAGAGTGTCGAAACCTCCCACCAGTTGGACAGCTCATCCAGCCATCCACTCTGGATGATTTCACCAGTTTGACAGCTCATCCAGCCATCCTCTCTGGATGATTTCACCAGTTTGACAGCTCATCCAGCCATCCTCTCTGGATGATTTCACCAGTTTGACAGCGATCAATGTTCATCGTGGAGTAGCTGCAAACCTGATTTCACCAGTTTGATAACTGATGATTTCAGCCAACCCGACTCAGGCAGTTATCAAACTGGTGAAATCACCAGTCGAGTGATTTCCTTCTTTGCCCTTCTTCTCCCCGACTACTTTTCTTCTCCCCAACTCACTCATTTGATTTTTTAATACGCTGTCTCATCTTTCCTGCCTCCTTGTTTTTCTCCTTGCTCTTTTTATGTCCACCCAATCAGGCCAACGAGACATCTCTTGTCAATTTCCTCTCTTGGATCCCTCCTCCTCCACTACCACACACTCTCCTCCTCTCCTCCACCCCTTCCTTCCCCACCATCCCCTCCTCCTCCTCATTCTCCTCCTCCTCCTCTCCCTCTGCAGCAGCTGCAGCAGTGGGGGCAGCAGGCCGCTCCCCTGCTGTCACACCCACCGGCACCGCACTCAACCTCTCTCCAAGCCTAGCCAATGCTGGTGTTGGTGGCAGCAGCAGCGGAGAAGCAGGAGGAAGGGGAGCGGGAGGCGCAACAGCAGCAGGGGTGGCAAGGGGAGGAGTAATTTACGACCCTAAGTTCGCATTGAGGGTGTGTTTAGAACGAAGGCGGATGCGGGGTTGTGTGTGTGTGTACAGTACCTTGGGAATGCATCAAGAGGCTGTAGCCCTGGCTCTCCAGATTGACGTGGCACTGGCGAAACGAGAGGCCAATAAGGCGCGAGAACCAGATCTCAAGCGATCGCTCTGGCTAATGATAGCACGCCACGTCATCGAGCAGGGGCTAGCAGGGCGAGCCGTGATTGGCGGAGAGGATACTCGCAGCAGCAGTGAGAAGAAGGAAGGGGAGGAGGAGAATGAGAACAGGAAGGAGAATGAGAATGGAGGGGAGGATGGGGAAGAGAGTGCAATGCGGCAGAACGTCCGAAGAGCAATTTCTCTTCTGAAAGAAACCGAGGGTTTGCTTAAAGTCGAAGACATTTTACCGTTCTTCCCGGATTTCACTCTGATTGACGATTTCAAAGACGCAGTGTGCGAGTCGTTAGAGGCATACGGGCAGGAAATCGACCGGCTAAAAGCCGAAATGACCGAGGCGACCCGGGCGGCAGACACGATCCGGAGGGACATCCAGGCGCTGAGTCAGCGCCACGTCATTGTGTCCACGCGGGAGACCTGCGGTGTTTGTTCTCGGCTGATTCTCGCTGCCCCGCCGCCCCAGAAAACGCTGCTGTCTGGTTCTGCTGCAGCCGGAGCTGCTGGTGGTGCTGCCGGCACTGCTGGTGGTGGTCTTTCTGGTGCTGCAGCAGCAGTAGCAGCGGCAAGCCTAGCAACAGCATCAGCATCAGCAGCGGCAGCAGAGGCAACGCCGTTCTATGTGTTCCCCTGCTCCCACGCCTTCCACATTGACTGCCTGCTCACCCACGTGGTTCAACACTCCGACCCCTTCCTGGTGAGGTGCCTTCCAGGGGAGGTGTTTTCTCGGAGAAGTATCGTCTGAGCTGACTTCGCTGATCATTATCTTGCTACAGTGTCACTTCTGTGTGTTCCCCTGCTCCCACGCCTTCCACATTGACTGCCTGCTCACCCACGTGGTTCAACACTCCGACCCCTTCCTGGTGAGGTGCCTTCCAGGGGAGGTGTTTTCTCGGAGAAGTATCGTCTGAGCTGACTTCGCTGATCATTATCTTGCTACAGTGTCACTTCTGTGTGTTCCCCTGCTCCCACGCCTTCCACATTGACTGCCTGCTCACCCACGTGGTTCAACACTCCGACCCCTTCCTGGTGAGGTGCCTTCCAGGGGAGGTGTTTTCTCGGAGAAGTATCGTCTGAGCTGACTTCGCTGATCATTATCTTGCTACAGTGTCACTTCTGTGTGTTCCCCTGCTCCCACGCCTTCCACATTGACTGCCTGCTCACCCACGTGGTTCAACACTCCGACCCCTTCCTGGTGAGGTGCCTTCCAGGGGAGGTGTTTTCTCGGAGAAGTATCGTCTGAGCTGACTTCGCTGATCATTATCTTGCTACAGTGTCACTTCTGTGTGTTCCCCTGCTCCCACGCCTTCCACATTGACTGCCTGCTCACCCACGTGGTTCAACACTCCGACCCCTTCCTGGTGAGGTGCCTTCCAGGGGAGGTGTTTTCTCGGAGAAGTATCGTCTGAGCTGACTTCGCTGATCATTATCTTGCTACAGTGTCACTTCTGTGTGTTCCCCTGCTCCCACGCCTTCCACATTGACTGCCTGCTCACCCACGTGGTTCAACACTCCGACCCCTTCCTGGTGAGGTGCCTTCCAGGGGAGGTGTTTTCTCGGAGAAGTATCGTCTGAGCTGACTTCGCTGATCATTATCTTGCTACAGTGTCACTTCTGTGTGTTCCCCTGCTCCCACGCCTTCCACATTGACTGCCTGCTCACCCACGTGGTTCAACACTCCGACCCCTTCCTGGTGAGGTGCCTTCCAGGGGAGGTGTTTTCTCGGAGAAGTATCGTCTGAGCTGACTTCGCTGATCATTATCTTGCTACAGTGTCACTTCTGTGTGTTCCCCTGCTCCCACGCCTTCCACATTGACTGCCTGCTCACCCACGTGGTTCAACACTCCGACCCCTTCCTGGTGAGGCCCCTTCCTGTTGAGGCCCCTTTGTGGTGAGGCCCCTTTCTGGTGAGGCGCTTTCTCGATAAAGTATCATCTGAGATATGAAGCAAACAGGTGGGGTATCCCGCACCCCCACTTCTACCTCCTTCGTTTCCAACACCGTCGGTGTTTGTGTTTGTTTTCTGCTGCCACCTGACTTCCAGATGGAGCATGTGTTGGAGTTGAAGCGGCAGCTGCTGGGAGTGCTGGAGACCCCGAGGAGGGGTAGCAAGCAACGGGGAGCAGGGGCAGGAACAGGAGGAGCAGGAGAGGGTGATAGTGATGTGGTGGACATTCATGCGGGACTCTCACCGATTGATAAGGTAACTTTCACACAAGCAAGTTTGTAAGTGGGTCGCATCACTACCTGTCTGAAAGGCTTTGTTCTCTCAAATCGTTTTTTAGTTGTGTTTATGTAAGATAAACTTACTGCTATGCATTCCATTTTCATGGTGCTGTGAATGTCTTCTTCCCGCATAATGGCAGGTGCGGCTGCAGCTAGATGAAGCTATTGCCAGTGAATGCCCTTTTTGTGGTTCACTGATGGTGGCTAGCACATCTGAGCCATTGATTGCTGCACATGAAGGAAATGTGCTAGATGCATGGAGCATTTGATTCCCTCAAACAGTGTTTTGCTGATTCTGGCTTGTATTTTGTATCTCCAAGTTGCATATCCCTTGAATTGCAAGAGCATGTGCTTGGGCTTGGCATGCATGCATGCCCTCCAATCCAGATGTTTTATTAAACTCCGATTTAGGTTAGGTTCTGTAGTAAAGTAGCTGTGTACTACTAATATGTCGCAGTCTTTCCCACGCGTGATGGCTACTTATACCGAATATTTCCAATGGCCATGATCCGCGCCTCGTCCAGGATGAACGTGCCGCACCGTCAGCTTCGTGCGCACGTCCGCGCTGTAGAGCCTTCACACCAAGGAATCTCCGAGCGAGATGGATGGTCGGCCACTAAAAGTAAACCACGTCAGCAGTTCTGGAGCCCCCCTGGTAGCTTTGCTGGTCGTGGTCAGTCAAGCACCACTCCGGCCCTCTCCACAGCATCGCGCCGCGAAATCCCTTCACAACCATCACGCACGCACAAGAAGCAAGCAAAGCAATGTCAGCTCAGCAGATTTCACGAAGCAACGAGCTGAAATGCGCGACGCGGGATCGATTCGAATGAATTTCATGGATTGTCCTATCATGGTTGAAAATTGCAGGTGAAACTCGCCCCACCACCTCCACTGCCTGCCTAATTCCGCCTGCTTCGCTCTCCCCCTGATGTGCTCTCGTGCGTGCGCACACCCACGCCCACGTGAAACCCGCTCTCACTGCCCTCGGTAGCAACCTGAGAACTCCCTCTCACCCACGTCGCCAGTTCTACCACACCGTATGGCATCCGAGCGGTGTGACGTGTTGAGAGATGGCGGAGATTCCCCCCGGTCGCTTCTCGAGGCGTGAGATGAGTGCAGCAGCATTGTGCTTGCGTGGCAACTCAAGGCGTACGATTCCGTTTCAAGCACAGATGCAAGGAATGCTGTCAGTCGACCTCGGCACGGCAATGCGGGAGCTAGCATAGTCATCTTCGTCGATCCTCTTCTTCATCGACCATACGACATTCACTAAAGCTCAAAGTTGAGGCGCATAATTTCCACTATTCCACCTGTGGCAGGTCTAGAGCCCTTGAATAGCACATTGGAGTGCTCTGGTTACGCCTTTCCTCCTCTGACTCGTCTAGTAGTTCTCATGCGTTCTAGTGGCTTCATTTGATTAGACGACGGTTTTTCCAACCCACGGGTTCCTCCGGTCAAAGGTTAATGTAATATCGCCGCTAGTCTATCTAGACCATGAAGTTTAGGCGGAACCTTCGTCGCACTGCCGCAGTCCACCCCGAGCCGCGCTCGCTTCTCTTCCCCGAGGTCCCCATCCGTGGCTCGAGAGACGAAGGCAGAAAGCTCGCGACCGAGTCGCTTTCAGGAAGCAATGGGGCATCGTCGGGAATCGCGGTAGCGCAAATGACGCTGGATGAGGCGATTGAAGCCTCGGCGCGCGAGCAAAGGCAAAAGCAACAGCAGCCACAGCCGGCACCGGCCCAGCCGTCACCGACCCAGCCGGCACCGACCCAGCCGGCACCGACCCAGCCGGCACCGTCCCAGCCGGTAGTGACCCAGCCGGTGGTGACCGAGCCGGCAGTGACGACTCAGCCAGCTGTCACGCAGCCGCAGCCTATAGTGGAACCGCAGCCGCCGCCGGTAACGGAACCGCAGCCGCAGCCGCAGCCGACCGACGGGGACACGCAGAAGCAGCTCTTCCCCGGCGTCACTTCGCCGCCCGTCGTAACCCCCACGCCCGTCAACAATCCCCCGGTCGCCAGCGGCGGCTTTGGGATCTTCCCCAGTGGGCCGGGCGGGTTCACCCCCACGCCCGTGACGCCCGAAACCCCGGCTGTGCCGAACACTCCCACGCCCGCGACTCCTGTGCCCGCGCCGACGACTCCTGTGCCCGCGCCGACAACTCCTGTGCCCACACCCAAGACTCCTGCCGTTCCCACACCTAAAGGGCCTGTCGTCGATCCCACGCCTAAAACTCCTGTTCCCACGCCTACCAATCCTGCCGTTCCGGCGCCCACGACTCCTGCCGTCCCCACGCCCACGACTCCTGGCGTTCCCACGCCTACTACTCCTGGCGTCCCCACACCTAAGACTCCTGGCGTCCCCACACCTAAGACTCCTGGCGTCCCCACGCCTAAGACTCCTGGCGTCCCCACGCCCAAGACTCCCCCTGTCAACCCCAGCGTCCCCACACCCAAAGCCCCGGGCTCGACTCCCACTCCCAAGGTCCCCCCAGCAGTCCCCGGTGCTAAAACTCCAGGCGTCCCAAATCCCAAGGTTCCGCCTCTTGCGCCTGGTTCCACGGCCGCGCCTGGCGTTCCAAATCCTAAACTTCCGCCGCTTGCGCCTGGTTCCACAGCCGCGCCTGGCGTTCCGAATCCTAAACTTCCGCCGCTTGCGCCTGGTTCTACGGGCGCGCCTGTCGTTCCGAAGCCCAAGACTCCGCCTGTAGCTCCTGGCAGTCAAGCCGCCCCCGGCTTTCCGCGCCCCAAAGTTCCGCCAGTGGTCAAACCCCCTGGTGCACCTGGCTCCGCCGCTGCCCCAGGTTCCGACTCTGCGCCTGGCTCCGCCTCTGCGCCTAGCTCGGACTCTGCTCCTGGCTCCGCCTCTGCTCCTGGCTCCGCCGCTGCCCCTGCAAGCCTGTCAGCGCCTGGCTCCGCTTCTGCGCCTGGCTCAGCCTCTGCGCCTGCTTCCAAACCTGCCAAAGTTCCGAAGCCTGCCCCTGGTTCCGCCAAGGCTCCTGTCCTTGCGCCCGGCTCCACGCGCGCGCCGTCCCGCGTGCCTAAAAACGACTCCCTCACCGCGCCGGCGTCGGTCCCCCCCCCTCTCCCCGCGCAGCCCTCCGCTCCGCTCCCGCAGCTCTCTACCTCGGCGAATGCTGCGTCGACCCCCTACTCGTCGACTCCCCCCGCGAACACGACCGCGACGGTGGATTCTGGCGGAAACAGCGTGTCCGCGGCTGCGGTTGCGGGGATTGCAGTTGGTGTGACGCTGGGGTTCGTGTTGCTGGTGGTGCTGGGACTGTACGTGTTCCTCCTGCTGAAGCGCAAGAAGGACGAGGCCGACGGCGAGAAGAAGGGGAAAGCGGGCGGTGCGGCTAAAGGAGGTGCTAAAGGTGAGTTCTCTGTCTGTGTGCGGTGTGTGTCTGTGTTTCGGAAGGGCGTGTGTTATTTGGTGTTCGAAGGCGGTTGCTTTTTTCCAGTTATGCTTTGCTTCCGCACGAAGGACTTCAAATTCTGTCGTGTGCTCACATCCCCCTCCCGACGCCCCCGCCCACCCTTCGTTTTCTTCCGCCCAATCCCTTGTACTTCCCTGTTTCAGCCGGCAAGGGTCCGTTCTATGCAGCTCCGTTCAAGACGCGCAGTAAGCGCGAGGAAGTGCAAGACGACGGCGAATCCGGAGTGACTGGAGTTCCGCCGGCAGCAGCGGCGGCGGCAGCGGCAGCGGCAGGAGCAGGCGCAGTAGCAGCAGGTGCAGCGGTCGCAGCCGGTACCACGGGATCCGCCCCTGCTGACAAAGCAGCTTCCGCGCCTGCTGCAGCTGACGTGGCACCTGCTGGCGCGGCGACTGCTACTGGCGCGGTGAGTGCTCGCCCAAACGCAAGTCCGCCGTCTGCTAAAGCCGGGAACAGCCTGACTCCCCCTACGGGTTCCGCTGGAGGCGCGGGCGGCGCAAGCCCGCTGGCGAACGCAGCAGGGACGGTTCCGGCCGCCGGTTCGACAGCAGGTTCGACAGCAGTTACGGCTGGCTCGGGTGCAGGAGGGGCGGCGCCAACTGCGGCTGCGGTTGCGGGTGCTGCAGCGGCTGTAGCGGCAGGAGCGGTAGTGGGCGCGGCAGCTACCACCGCAGCAACAACGAAGACTCCGGCAGCCGCGAGAGCCGCTGCTGTTCCTGCTGCAGGCGCAGCTGGCGCAGGGGTGGTCGCAGGAGCGGCGGCAGCCAAGTCAGGAAACGATGAGGACGAAATCGATCCTTCCGAACAGTGGTGGTTCCCCGCGGAAGAGCTCGACCAGGCTACAGAACGCTTCGCTCTTTCGAACAAGCTCGGATCGGGAACTTTCGGAACTACTTACAAGGGAGTATTGGAGGACGGGCAGGAGGTGGCAGTGAAAGTGCTCAAAGTGAAGGGTTCGCTGAGCGACGACGCGTGGAAACGCGACGCGGAGGAGGTTTTCGCGATCCAGCACGAGAACCTGGTTACTTATTTGGGGTATTGCCTCGCCAGTTCGCAGCGAATGCTGGTGCAGGAATTTGTCGCGAACAGTTCGCTTGACGCGGCGCTGCATGGGAGTAACAAGCCTATCCTGGCGTGGAATTTCCGCATGAAGATCGCCAAGGGCGCTGCGAAGGCTCTCGCATACCTCCACGAAGAATGTAAGTGGCTGCGACCCTAGATATCGCAAGGGAGTTCGCATCTCATCTACCCCCCTTCAAATTCAGCTATTTTTGTTCTTCCTGTCCCTTTAGTGTTGTATTGCTAACCATTCTTTGTTTTGCTGTGACACCCATTTCATTCCTGACAGGCAAGCCCCAGATTATTCACAAGGACATCAAGTCATCTAACATCCTGCTGGACGCACAGTACGGGGTCAAGGTGAGCGAGCATACATCCCTGTGCGGTCCCAAATTTAATAAATATACATTTTCCAGCACATTGTTCCAAACTAATACATTTTCTATTGTGACTTTTGTTCCTTCTCTCCGTGCCTCAGCTGAGTGACTACGGCTCAGCCAAGCTGGCAGGAGATGCTGCCCTCACAACCATCGTCAGCTCAGCCGGCTCTTTCGGGTGAGCAAGCATGTAACATTCACCGGCTGACATGTAAGGGAACTTTCATTGCCATGGATATGGTTGTGACAATGCACAGAACGGTCTTCTCATGATGCTGGTCAGCTCCCCCATGCTTCACGACTCAAATCCCCTTTCCACTCCCACTCAACCCCTTCTGTTCTGTGTGATTCCCAGTTACCTAGCGCCGGAACATACACTCACAGGCAAGCTCACCGAGAAGTCGGACGTGTACTCGTTTGGAGTGATCTTGCTGGAGCTTATAACGGGGAGGAAGCCCAGTGACAAGCAGAGGGGGCAGAAGGACAGCCTGGTTGAGTGGGTGAGTGCCGTGTCGTCAACACCTTTTCTTATTGTTCTCAGAAACTCTGACGCTCATTCGTTGAATGTACATGCCCTTATTGTTTTGATTAAACCTGTTCTTCCGTCCCTTCTTCATCACTCATCAGGCTCGGCCACTCCTTGCCTCCAACACGCTGAAGGAGCTTGCTGACCCAAATCTGGACGGCTGTTTCGGGGTGAAAGAGATGGATCGTGTTATTGTGGCTGCCTCGCAGTGTGTGAGGCAGTCGGCTGTACTCCGACCAAGCATGAGCCAGGTAAGAGGTACACCCGAGTCATTTTCTCAGGCCCACAGTGTGGCATAGGTTGAATCCAAGCCCTGTTTTCTTGTGTGTGCAGGTTCTTCGCCTTCTGGATCAGCAGTGACAATAGCGATAGAAGTTTGACATTAGTCAAGTAGGTAACAAATGCTTTCTAGGTCGTGTGAGTCGTTTGGAAACATGCAAATGTAGGGCATGCTCCAGAATAAGCACTGAGTGCAAACGGCCTGCTAGAAAGTAGTTAGTCATGTTGTCCTGAGATTGCATAACTCAAGTACGGTAATGCCAGCAAACCCAGTGCCTGCAAGCCTGAAGTAATGTCCCAAATCCCTTTTATCAGCTTCAAGCTGAACGCTTCCCCTGAATCAAATGAATCGTTTTTTGAAGTGGCTCAAATTTACCGGATCGATGAGTGATACACACGATGCTCACCTGCTGCGCGCGAATTTGATCTGCCCCCTGTCAAAACTCTGCCCACGAACAATTGGTGACGGGAAGCTGCACCCTGTTTACAAGCTCCCCAAACAAGTTGCACTGGTTATGAACCAATGGTAACGAAGTGACTGAAGTCGAATTTTGCAAAGACTGAAGTCAAAAAGTCAACGGGTAGTTACAATATTTTCTATTAAGCCCTTTTTGCTAGCTGAGACATCACGAAACCTCCGCGAAATGCAAGTAACACTTACACGCCCAAAGGGTAAGGACGTGTCTCAGTTCGCCTCTGGTCGGCTGTGATCTGGTCGGGACTGATCTGATCGGGGTGCCTTTGTTTGGATAGCTCGCGCCGCCCGATCAGATGAGATATTCCTCGAATTCTCCACGAGGGTACACAGCAGGCGAACATACATTTCCTGCTATCTTCGGGCCCACTTTGGCGACTGCAAACCCCTCGTGATGGATTTAGCGAATTAGAGTGCAACTCTGTAATGGCGAAATGATGGCGCCTCCAGAATGTTCTTGCCACAACGGGGTATTCGCGAGGGTTTCACGAATCCCTGCCGACCGATGTAACTGTTCGCTAGCGTCGCGTAGTACCCCAATCAAATGCAATCAAGTGATCGTCGATGATTGTCTGTGATTGTGTTTGATTGGGCTTTTTTTTGCGGTTGATCGAGTTGGGGCGATCAGCTGATCGCGATCAAGTGATTGCCCCTGATTTCATGAAATCGCCTCTCTACCTTCCTGGAAGTTAATGATCGTGTCTGATCGAGGCAACCCGAGGCGAACCGAGACACGTCCTAAGGCAAGTACGGGGGGTAGTGTAAGGAATTTTTCGGATTCCTTACTGGGTCACTCCGTACGCGTACAACCCCGACTTTCGGAAAACCAGGCTCGGTCCGCCGACCTCGCCTTCCGAGCCACTACCGCGTCGCCTTCGGGTTTTCCAACCCCGAACCAGCACCCAACCATCTTGCGACTCCGCAACCTCGGTTCAGCTAGCGCTGCTATATTAGTCCTAGGCCTCGTTGTGTTCTCAGACGTGGTAATCACTTCCGCCTTATTGAGTTCTGCGCACTCTTTCATTCACAACTCATAACACTTGGTATCAGAGCCTAATTTCCTAGGTTACCCTCGCGTTTCCGGGGTAGTTTGTAGAAGGGGAGCGATAGACTTGGTGGGCTGTTAAGCGGTCGGCCCGTGGAATAGATCTGATTATTCCACTCCGACTACGATAGCATTAACGCCTTCACCGAAGTCAGAAAAATCGCGAGCCACCCCCTGCCCGTTAGACGAAGCCTGCGACACATGGAACAGGCGGAGTTCAACGAGTTCATGCAACAGTTCCGGACGATGCAGGCCACCATGCAGACGATGTCTGCAGAAATGGAGCGTCTCCAGAAGGAAAACGCCGAACTACACCAGGCGCGTGGTGAAGCGCGCCAGGAGTCGCCTGTCGTGGACGACGCAAGTAGCAGCACTGCACCAGATGAGCGGGTCTGGGACGAGCTGGAAGGCGAGATAGAAGCGGACGAGGCGAGGCAGGCGCAGCAGCAACAGTCACCGCAACAGTCGCGTGCAGCACCGACACGTGCAGCAGCGACGGCGACGGCGACGCCAGCAGCGACGCCAACTGCCCCGATGGCAGCAACGACTTTCGTTAAAATCAAGCCGACAAACCCGCCCCCGTTTAACCCAAGTGACAAGTTCGTCACTGTTTCTGCATGGTTGTTCGGCGTGGAGGTGTTTTTCAATGCTGCCATGATTTATGACGATGCCACCCGCATTAATTTCGCAGTTTCACTGTTGCGAGGACCTGCGCTGGAGTGGTGGAGGCGAACGCTGCAGGACGAAGGGACTTCGGCAGGAATAGCACGTGCGAACGACGGGACTTCAACACCTGTCACGCATCGAGCAGCATCAATTTTCGGGACGGCTACGATACGCATATGGAGGGAGTGGGGCGCCGCCTTGCGAACCAGGTTCGAGCACATATCCGCCTCGGACTCTGCTCGCATGAAGCTGCGTGCCTGGAAGCAGCTGACTTCAGTCCAAGACTACACCAGCACATTCTGCAACTTGGCGGACCAAGTGGACGACATGAGCGATGCGGAGCGGTTGGATCGCTACGTGGCGGGCCTGAAATACGAGATACAGTACGAGGTCCGACGAACCCGGCCACGCAGCTTCAACGACGCCGTCCGGGAAGCCGAGTCAACGGATGCGCTCATACAGTGGGCGAGATCGAGCTCCCGGGAGGGCCCTCGATTTCGTGGATCGACTCAGCAGCCCACGATCAACGGCGTGGATGCACCAAGCCGAGCCCTTGGGCCGTGCTTTTTATGCAACCAGCTGGGCCACCTGAAAAAAGACTGCCCGAGGCTTAAGCAGGGGAAGAAGAACGACGGAGAAGGGTCGGGAAAAGATACGAGTCAGTAGCAGAAGGGCCACCTACTGACGAGACCCTGTCGCCCGACAATCACCATCCACACCGGGTCGTGGTACCGATCAGAGCTATCGACCAGAACCGGACGAATAACGTGGGTGAACACGTGGACTACCCTGTGCTGGTGGTGGGGAGGGTTAACGGTTATAAAATAAAAATATTCGTTGACGGTGGGGCGAGCCACAGTCTCGTCAACCTGGCAACGGCCAAAAAAATTGGGGTAAAGCTGACCAGGTGCCTGCCGGAGATCGATGCAAGGTTGGTGGACGGGACACCACTAGCCATCTGAGATGAGGAGCGAAAAATTCGGATACGGTGTGGCGACAAATTCGGGTTTGGCATGAAAATGTTGGCGACGACGCTGGACGGCTGCGATGTGCTGCTGGGGAGAGATTGGCTGCAGCGCTTCAATCCGACGATCGACTGGACGACTGGGGCGTGCGTCGTGCGAGGATACGGAGGGAAGACGACGCTTCCGAAATGGACGGAGCCGGAGCCGGTGACGACACGTGTAAACGCGGTCAACATGGCACGCGCGATGAAGAGCGGAGCGCAAGCCTTCTTGGTGCACCTGTACGAGGTGGCAGCTTCCGAGAAAATCGCGGACATCGACACCCTCTGCGCAGCAGTCCCCGAGGAATTGGCGAGCATCATTCGGAAGTATCCCGAAATTTTCGCGGATGACCTCCCGGATGGCTTGCCCCCCCAACGACCTGAGGATCATCGGATCCAGCTGGAGCCCGGCGCGCAACCTACTGTTCGGACACAGTGGCGGCTCAGCCAACCAGAGCTCGCCAAAGGGCTTCATCCGGCCAAGCACGTCGCCGTATGCAGCGCCGATACTGTTCACGCCGAAGAAGGATGGGGGTCTACGCATGTGTATTGATTATCGGGCGCTGAATCGGGTCACGATAAAGTCGCGTTACCCGATCCCGCGAACCGACGATCTGCTGGATCAACTTTACGGAGCTCGGTATTTTTCGAAAATCGACTTGCGAGGGGGCTACCACCAAATTCGCGTGTTCGCCGACGACTGCCCGAAGACGGCCTTTCGCACACGTTACGGCAGTTACGAGTTTACGGTGATGCCGTTCGGACTGACAAACGCGCCCTCAACATTCCAGCTCACAATGAACGGAATTTTCCGGGACATGCTGGACAAGAAAGTCATCGTGTATCTGGACGACATCCTGGTGTACAGCGCAACAAAAGAGGACCATCTGCGGGATTTAGAGGAGGTGTTCCGGCGTTTACAGGGGCATCGGCTGATTACGAAGGGGTCTAAGTGCGAGTTTCTGAAGCCGGAACTGGAGTTTTTGGGGCATGTGGTTTCTGGCGAGGGCATCAAAATTGACCCGCGTAAGGTGGACGCCATCGTTAAGTGGAAGCCGCCTACTAATATCCCTGAGTTGCAAAGTTTTTTGGGGTTTGTTAACTACGTTCGTCGTTTTGTACCTAATATGGCAGGGATAACCAAGCCGCTGACCGACCTGCTGCATCACGACAGCGATTTCAGGTGGGGGGAGAGGGAGCAGTCCGCCTTCGACGCCCTCAAAAACATTTTGGATTCGCCCCCGGTACTCCGCCTCGCCGACCCATCTCGACCGTTCGAAGTTGTACCTGACGGACGCCAGCGATTTCGCCGTCGGCGCCGTCCTGCTACAGGATTTCGGCCAAGGGCTGCAACCCATCGCCTACGAGTCACGCAAGATGCAGCCACCCGAGCGCAACTACCCAGTCCACGACAAAGAGATGCTGGCCATCGTCCACGCATTTCGTACCTGGCGCTGCTACCTCACGGGAGCCGACGTGACAATTCGGACCGACCACAGATTGCTACAGTACATGCGCACGCAACCAACACTCAACCCGCGACAAATCCGGTGGTTGGACTTCCTCGAGTCCAATTTTCGGTACACCATCACGTACAAGAAGGGCGCCAACAACATCGCCGACGCCCTCACCCGACCATCCATGCAAAACGCGGCGGTACTAATCGCCCACACCAACCCGATGCTGACGGGACTATTCACCCACGGCTACAAGATCGACAGGTTTTTTCGGAATCCGCACCAACAGGCTGCCACGCCACACGGCAAATACTACCTAAAAGCCGGTACGAACCGGATTTGGGTACCAGCATACCAGCCTTTACGGGAGCTGCTGACGCAGGAGGTTCACGACTCCAACCTTTCCGGGCACTTCGGCACCGACAAGACACT